CAACTTTATCTCACTTCTCCTCATCATCTGCAATAAGCTTTAACAAGGGTGATAATTTCCAGAACCTAATCTTAATATCTGACACACTATTAACGATACTAATTCTGATACGACTAGTTACGCCCTTAAAAGACCTTAGTTGTTGAAGAGTAGAGTATTAACATGATAAAGTTAGCAACGATACTTAACACCAACATATTAAAAGACTCAATTATAATATTCCTTTCTGTTCACCAAGATCACCTTCACTCCAGTAAGCTGGACGCTGCAGGTAACAGTGGTGACGATATGAGACATTTAACTCCTGGCTTTAAGGATAAACTGTGTCTTGCCTCACCCTTAACTGCTCATGATGTCAACACACGGATGTGACCTAATCTCTCCCAATACCATGGCACTGCTGTTAATCTCACACACACACTAAAACATGGCCCTGTGGTGATGACACACACACACGGGCAGTTGGCCAACACGGCTGTAGAAGCGTTCCTATGATTCCCCAGCTGCCGGTGACGTCATCTAGCCTACAGGAACACAAAGTCAAGATTCTCAGAAGTTTCCACAATATATATTTCTAGTAACTGGAGCTGTGAGATAACACCCAACTGCCGGTATTAAACCACAAAAATAACGTTAAAAAATATAAAAAATACAGAGTAACTTCCTGCGTGCGCCAAAACTGCATACAGCTCAAGACCACTAGTTCGGTGTAGATCACCGAACTAGGTGATAGCAAAGCCAACCTCCAGAAGGAGGACCTCAAAAGAATAACCCAGGAAGCCATAGCCACCGAGACCCCGGCTGATGCAGCATCATACTTCACAGACGGATCGGTGGACCCAAAACATCATAGATCCGGAGCTGCCTTCTACACCCAAGGTCAGACCCTCCTATGAAGACTTTCTAATGACTGCTCCACCCTACAAACAGAGTTGGTAGCAATCTCAAAGGCCCTACAACACTGCAACTCAACAAGTCCATCATAATTCACACGGACTCGAAAACCGCCAGGCAGGCGCTGCAACACAGTCAACCAAGAGACAACGTCCACATCATAACCTCGATCCTTGCACAGCTACAGGACTTCCAAAGACAAAATTGCCCAGTCGTCTTACACTGGATTCCCAGTCATGTAGGGATCGGGGGAAACGACGTGGCAGACGAAGCAGCAACGGCAGCCACACGTTCTAGAAGCCTACATATTCAAGTTCCAGCAAGCGTGCAACAGATCAAGAACCACCTCAGAAAGCCTACCAAGCTCCAGCTCCAAAAGACTTTCCTTGACGCATTCAACGCTGGTTCCCAATCAGCCAAATGGTACCTGGTGGCTACACAAAAGGGGAACCACCATTCGCGAACAAAAAAACACCAAGACAAACCCAAGTTAGCCTTCACCGACTACGACTACGACTAGGGTACAAGTGCACCTGGCAGACGATCGGAAATGTCGTCAGGGAATGCACCTACTGTCAGGAGCCAGCGGCCAACCCACTGGAACACTATCTCCTCGACTGCGAAGTCACACAAAGTCTCCGAAACAGAATTCGAAACTTCCAAGAAGAACACACAACACCAGCGGCCACTCTAACCCGAAAGGCCCAAACAAATCACATTCACCACCTTCTCCGGGTCATCACACGATACCCACCACCCAGATAGCTTAGGAAGTATCCTCCCCAAGCAAGTGCGGACCCCAGTTCGGGGGGCGCGCCACTCCGAAACTGACCACGTCCATGAGTGGGGGTTGGTGGTAAGCGTTCACTGACCGAGGGTCCGCTCACACTTGCAAACCTGCAGTATCCTTTCATATCTGCAGGTAGGACAACCTCCAACCCCAAATCCGGTTTGGCTGCTCCAAGAGCTCCAGCCGGAACCACCAAACGGGCCGCCTACAGGCAAAGGCCCGTGTCGGACTACGGTTCGACAATCTCAACAACACAACATCGGTGTAGATGTGAATTCAACTTCAGTAACGTTACAGTGATACAGGATCTACTGTACTGTACTGTACCACAATCTACGGGTCTGGACCCATGGGTTGTAAACATTCTTCTGTCGAGGTTCAGATTTACCCAAAGTAATATGTTAAAGGACATTTAGGTCACACATAAACCGTAGTTACCGGTAATGTTGCAGTAATTTAGTAGCTGGCGACATCTGTTCACCAGAAAGTGATTAACGAAATGACAAACTGAAGTTGATTCTTTATAAACTCAAAACAAGATTAGGTAGAGTGTGGGGCAAGAAAGACAAACTTGTGACAGCACCATGAACAATAAGGCTGAGACCGACATAACCTCACTTGTTTCGAACTGACTATATAAAAATTGAACAGGAGACAACGACGATTCGCCCTAAGCTTCCCGACACACACAAAGAGGAGAGACAATACTGGCCTGGGGTATTCTGGACGAAGCCTTCATGAGACTTAAACGACGCTACGGAGAGCAGGTTAGGTGACTTAACCATTTAATCTCCCTTCTGTAGTAAAACACATCTTGACCCAACCCAACCTAACCTAACCTAACCTGACCTGACCTGACCTGACCTGACCTGACCTGACCTAACCTAACCTAACCTGACCTAATCCACAATGCACATTAATACACTCAACAGATTATTGTTACTTGAAAAAAATTATTAATAGAAAGTATATAAGATCATTACCTGGGATAAGATTAGTGTACTGGTCGTGAGATTAGTGTACTGGTGGTGAGATTAGTGTACTGGTGGTAGGATTAGTGTACTGGTGGTGAGATTAGTGTACTGGTGGTAGGATTAGTGTACTGGTGGTGAGATTAGTGTACTGGTGGTAGGATTAGTGTAGGATTAGTGTACTGGTGGTAGGATTAGTGTACTGGTGGTAGGATTAGTGTACTGGTGGTGAGATTAGTGTACTGGTGGTAGGATTAGTGTACTGGTGGTAGGATTAGTGTACTGGTGGTGAGATTAGTATACTGGTGGTAGGATTAGTGTACTGGTGGTAGGATTAGTGTACTGGTGGTGAGATTAGTGTACTGGTGGTGAGATTAGTGTGCTGGTGGTGAGATTAGTGTACTGGTGGTAGGATTAGTGTACTGGTGGTGAGATTAGTGTACTGGTGGTAGGATTAGTGTACTGGTGGTAGGATTAGTGTACTGGTGGTAGAATTAGTGTACTGGTGGTAGGATTAGTGTACTGGTGGTAGGATTAGTGTACTGGTGGTAGGATTAGTGTACTGGTGGTAGGATTAGTGTACTGGTCGCAAGATTTATGTACTGGTGGTGAGATTATTATACTAATGGTGAGATTAGTGTACTGGTGGCAAGATTAGTGTGCTGGTGGTGAGATTAGTACACAGGTGGTGAGATTAGTGCACTGATGGTGAGATCAGTGTACTGGGTGGTGAGATTAATATACTGGGTGGTGAGATTAGTAAACTGGGTGGTGAGATTTGTGTACTGGGTGGTGAGATTAGTGTACTTGGGTGAGATTAGTAAACTGGGTGGTGAGATTAGTGTATTGGGGTGAGATTAGTGCACTGGATGGGAGATTAGTAAACTGGGTGGTGAGATTAGTTTACTGGGTGGTGAGATTAGTGTATTGGGGTGAGATTAGTGCACTGGATGGGAGATTAGTAAACTGGGTGGTGAGATTAGTTTACTGGGTGGTGAGATTAGTGTATTGGGGTGAGATTAGTGTACTGGGGTGAGATTAGTGTACTGGGTGGTGAAATTAGTGCACTGGATGTGAGAAAAGTAAACTAGGTGGTGAGATTAGTGCACTGGATGTGAGATTAGTGTACTGGGTGTTGAGATTAGTGTACTGGGTGGCGAGATTAGTTTACTGGGGAGAAATTAGTGTACTGGGGTGAGATTAGTGTACTGGGTGAGATTAGTAAACCGGGTGGAGAGATTAGTGTCCAAGCCTAAGTAATTCAAGTCAGAAGTTCTTGTAAAACGGTACTGTGGTCAGGTGGGGGTGCTTGTTCCTACAGTAGATAGTGTTCTGTTATGTGTCACACCATGGTATTGCCCTGTTATGTGTCACACCATGGTATTTTCCCCTTATATGTCACACCATGGTATCTCATTAACCCCATGGTAGGGCAGGTAAAAATCAAGGTGTTACTATCGTCGGTAGGTACAGTTACATACTTTCCCTACTTACCGACCAAGTCACCCCAAAAGTCCCACAAGAACATACCCCCTTTGGGTATGGTCCACTTGGCAACAGTTTCGCTCACTCAGCTGTTCTCCTATAGTCACACACTCCCTCCTCGGGACCACCAAACATTATATCACTGCTGAAGTTACTTTCCCTTTTACAAAACTCGTTAGCTACTGTTTAAAGCCACAGGAAGATAAATTATATTCGTACCCTAATGTTACAGAATCCCAGGTGTATTTTGATTGTTTGTGTACCATTTACCGGTAACCTGAACAAGGCGAGGTAAGGTTAGGTAGGCCTATACGGTCAAGGTTAGTGGGTGGTCCTTGACTAGGTCTACTTGGAGAATTTATTCACAAGTTGAGGAATAACCAATCATATCGCTGGGATGGTGTGACGTCACGGTGATGCAGCCAAGTGAATGGTCAACAGCTGGGTGTGTGTGTGTAGTGTACGTAGCGCCAGTCGGCTGCCTCCGGCCTAGCCCCTCTATATCCCGTTATGAAGAACACTACACAGCCTAACGAGCATTTCATATTAATATTACAGTTATAAATGCTAAATGATGTATATATATCTTCCTACCAATGGTGACAGAATAACAACCTGGGATATTTATTTATTCTTTATCTAGATATTTCTACTGTCAATAAAACTATGAGTTCTAAACATGACAGCACCATACGTGAGACTCGATTTATCACATGTTTAGTTGCTATTGGGAGCAGAAAGGGGAGAGGCGACACTACTCCCTGTATAGTGAGGAGCTGCTACAACAACCGGGTGATGTTCAGTAAGATGAGAAGAAAGTGTTCTACCTACTGCACATTCACCCCCGCCACCTTCCTTACCTTTATTCGCTGCTTCGTGACTGATCTCAAACACCCATCTGTTCTCCACGGATGCTGACTCTCCCTTGTCTAGATTATCCAGGGCATGAAGACTGTCAACACGGTAGAATCGTCTTGCTACTCTGGACATGGTTTCGGCTGTTCCTACAACACTCCTCACTCCTCCACTCTACGGCTGGTGCCGGGACACTGAGGGACATCTGGTGGGAGTGTCCGTAACTGCAGTAAGACACACACACGATGCCACTTCTCGCCATAGACACAGGTTACACCACAGAAATAGATTGATACTTAGATATTAATTCGGTCAAGTTGTAATACAAGTTCACATTGTTTCAGCAAGTACAGTACTGTACACACATAGACAGCGCAGGCACACAAACAACGATAAACAGTTAAAAAGGGTTAAAGTAAGGGGAGTCAATCATTTGGCATCTATTCTACTAGTCTATTTCTAGATGTTTTTATAGCTAGATAGATAACTACTATGAAAACTGTCGTACAACTTCACATTGATTAAGCATGATATAGACAATACAGGTATTCAGGGCAATTTAACAATGCAGGTCCACAAACATTTGCGAACAATAGCTCGATAAGATTAAGTTAAAAGATGTACATCTTTTAGCATCTGTTCATTGTATTTCTATTATATAATCACTTTCAGCATTAGAGATTAGATATAAAGGTGATCTTACTGTCCCGGCGTCTCTGTCCTTCGAATTAACCCCTGCCACTGCATGACCTTCAACATGGGACGCAGTACAGTATATATAATTTCGTCAGGATCTCGCAGCGTTCATACATAATGCACTTACACTTGAGTATTAATGATTATCCTGTTCTTTCATATTACTTTTCACACTTTAACTGATGACGGTGATAATAACACCAGGAACGCGACACACGAGAAGACGGCAACAAAAATAATCTTTGCTTCTCACAGATTAGATTACGTAGTACAGAACCTCTCAGGAATAATATTAAAAAAAATATCCTTTAATATCCATCCTTAAAAAACAATATAATAAACTACATTTATTGAATCGGATGTCGCCTAGTTATGATAATACATAACAAGAATAGTAAAATAAATATGATTGATGGTTAGTATGCATACACGAATAAACAAAACCCGGATATGTTGATAATAACACACGGAGAATGAGAGTCTTGAGATGTTTGGTGCATTAGGAAGGAAGATGACAGATAAGGGCCGTGTATAATGCGTTCGGTACTGTGGTGTGACCGTGTGAGTGCTACGTTCGACTGACACCGTATTGAACTACGCATCATGTCTGAAGGTCATCCGTGTACATTAACAGACAAAGTCGCCCTTCCATTAAGCTAGAGTGGAACTGTCATACACATTTTATCCCCAACAAACACAATTCATTATCCAATTAATTTGGTTTGTAAATACACCCCAAATATGAAGAAGAAAAAACTAAAGGAACAAAGTCACAGTTAAGTTGACATAGATAAAATTAGAACTAACGGCCCTACATAATATTCAGCGTCACACCGGAAACATGTCCCCAATCTTCTGTAAACATGATGAAGACTGACCCTTAGGAAATTGCAACTTATTTCCCTTATGGCTATTAATATATTACACAATACCGCTTCAAGAATAGTGCTTTCATTAGTACCAGATATCCAAGTAAGTTCTTCCTCCTTAATATGCCGGTTAGGTTAGGTTCTGTGCAGTGTCGTATCATTTTTATTACTTACTATCAATCAAACAACTGCTTCTTGTATTAGCTGTCTCCTCCATTATTACATTTAACCTTATCCTAAATATTATTATACATCTTGTAATTCTAGAGCAACAATTTTAGACCCAAGAACATATACAACAAGGCATATTCAGGTTTATTATAGTTATCCCGGCAAAGAACAAAATATATGACGTTTTCTTTCGTCAATTTCAAGAGAAACTCATATAAATTTAATTGAGAGCACACTTGTCTATAGAGTGGTAGAGGTTGGTTGATAGATATATAAATAGATAGATATAAAATGATAGAATGAAAGGAAGATAGATAGACAGACATGGTTAGTTAGAAAGATACCCAGCAACAATATTTTTTCTAGTAATAATTAAAAAGTTGAGATGTGAGTTTTTATCGAATGTTGCCATAAAATTGTAGCAACATCAGTAAAAACGTAATACATACACACATACATACTGGGGTGCCTAATATTAAGGTGAAATAAGCTTGAGTGCCAAATATTCAGGTGAAATAAGCTGGAGTGCCTAATCTTCAGGTGAAATAAGCTGGGGTGCTTAATCATAAGGTGAAATAAGCTGGAGTGCCCAATCTTCAGGTTGATACGTTTAATGTTATCCCAGATCTTAGCCATAATATTATTTAAGCGTAAAGTAGCCGCATAATTGAATAGGTTTGGTTAAGGTCATGGCAGGCCAGTTTATGTTAGGGTTACATAATATTAACTTTGTCAGGTTAAGGCTATGTTATGTTAACGTTATATTACGTAAAATATTAAATTAATGATTATGTTAAGGTTATGTTAGGTTTACTTTATATTCTGTTAATTTTATAGTTAAATGTCAACTTAAGGGTATGTTAAGTTAAGGCAATATCAGGTAAGGTTATGGTAAGTTACAGTTGTGTTAGGTTAATAAAATGTTAGGTTATTATCGTTACTTTAAGTTAATATTAGGCATGGACATATGCACAAGTTTTTTGTCACATTTGTGGAACTTTGTTGTAACATTTTACTGAAGTTTAATGAAACGTCATTGAGAGGAAACTTCTGCCCTACCAGAAAACGTTGTAGTATTGTCCTAATTATAACATTTTAATAAATATGAATTATTACCTGTGTGTGTGTGTGTGTGTGTGTGTGTAGAATATTATCACTAGAAAGTATTAAATGATTGCATTTACCTGGATTAGGTCAAATAATTTTTAATATAGAATAATATTGTCTCTGATACTATGAAGTTCCCAGGCTCTCCAGCTTCTCCCCTTCCTCAAGATGACGCAGAGGTTGTAAGCACAGAATAAAGGTCAAGTTTACTCCAGTGTGACATCAGTGACATTTACAACTTGAAGGTCAGCTAAAATTATCACGATTTTTTTTTTCGTTTCGTTTCTCAGTTTTTATTTCTTTACATTGTAGCAACATGACAATAGTAAAGGTGTCAAGACTCAAGACTGGAGAACCTAAAGTCTTCATTACGGTAATTGTCTTTTTTTGATGTGTTGTACTGTAGTAATCAATTGTCGTTCTCAATTCAGGAAATTAATTAGAGGGAGATTAATAGTTTCTAATTTGCAATATGTACAGCAGCAAAAAAAATAAAGTATTTGTGCATACTCCGTGTGAAACAATATGAGACCACGGACGATAAGTATTGGGATATGCGTGTTGTACCTTGTCTCCTTATACTACAGTATGTGATAATAATCACTTACTCGTTTATCTTATTCCTCACCCCTGTTGGATAATGAATGGCAGTGGGTGAAGACACGCATACCAACCCTCCCGAGACATCATGATTTGTACGTATAAATTCGGAGGTCATCGGACCCACCCTGTCAGATACTTTTTTAGCTACCGTACTGTACGACATAACTTAAAACCAAACTTAACCTAACTTAACCTAACTTAACCTAATCAAAACCACCAAGCTTGCTGCCTGGGTCTTCTCACCTGCCTGGGTCCTCTCACCTGCCTGGGTCCTCTCACCTGCCTGGGTCCTCTCACCTGCCTGGGTCCTCTCACCTGCCTGGGTCCTCTCACCTGCCTGGTTCCTTCCTCTCACCTGCCTGGGTCCTCACCTGCCTGGGTCCTTCACCTGCCTGGGTCTTCTCTGCCTGGGTCTTCTCACCTGCCTGGGTCTTCACCTGCCTGGGTCTTCTCACCTGCCTGGGTCTGCTCACCTGCCTGGGTCTCTCACACCTGCCTGGGTCTTCACCTGCCTGGGTCTCACCTGCCTGGGTCTTCTCACCTGCCTGGGTCTCACCTGCCTGGGTCCTCTCACCTGCCTGGGTCTGCTCACCTGCCTGGGTCTTCTCACCTGCCTGGGTCTTCTCACCTGCCTGGGTCTTCCCACCTGGTCTCCTGGCTCACCTGCCTGGTCTCTCACCTCACCTGCCCTGGGTCTTCTACTGCCTGGGTCTCACCTGCCTGGTTCTGACCTGCCTGGGACCTCTCACCTGCCTGGGTCTTCTCACCTGCCTGGGTCTTCCTACCTGCCTGGGTCTTCTCACCTGCCTGTTCTGCTCACCTGCCTGGGACCCTCTCACCTGCCTGGGTCTTCTCACCTGCGTGCTGGAAAATTTATCGCGGCAACAAGTACGTTTTTCTTTCTCAGCGCCTTCAACCGCTCTCTCTCTCTCTTTTAAACCTTTCTATTTCACTTTCTCTTCTCTTTGTTTACTTTCTCTATCTCTCAATGTTGTTACTTAACCTGTTTCATTTTCCTCACTTCGCCTTCAATCTCTTTCTCTCTCCATCACTTTCTCTTTCTCTCACTTCTTCTCTCTCCCTGTTTCACTCTCTTTCACTGTCTCACACACACACACACACACACACATATTTACCACTATTTTGTAAGTGTGGTTGAAACTGTCAGCCAAATATTACGTGTGAGTGTTGTGTCGTGTTCCTTCACCACAGGTCTGGGAGACATTAGTGTTATTCTTAATGGTGACGTCCTTAACACTTTGCTTTTAATATTTTGCTTTAAACACTTTATTTACGATCAGATTTTAGTGTATAATCACCATAGCCTTATAGTCTTGCCTCATAGCCTCATAGCCTCGCCTCATAGCCTCGCCTCATAGCCTTACCTCATAGCTTTGCCTCATAGCCTCGCCTCATAGCCTTACCTCATAGCTTTGCCTCATAGCCTCGCCTCATAGCCTTACCTCATAGTCTCGCCGGTGGTTGGATGGCGGTCCGCTTTACGGTGAGACCCTCCTCCTCCTCCTCCTCGTCTTCTTCTTCTTCCTCCTCCTCCTCCTCCTCCTCCTCTTCTTCTTCTTCTTCTTCTTCTTCCTCCTCCTCCTCCTCTCCCAGGACTTGCGCTTCTCCTCTCCCTCACGTCTTGCTCCACCTACCTCACACCCATCTTCCTCACCCACCACACCCACACTCACCCCTCCACCCTCCACTCACCCCTTCACCCCCACTCACCCTCCACCCCACACACACTCACCTCCACCCCCACTCACCCCACCTCTCACCCTCCCACCTCCACTCTCACCTCCTCCACCCCCACCACCTCCACCCCCACACTCACCTCCACCCCCACTCACCCCCACCCCCACTCACCCCTCCACCCCACACTCACCCTCCACCCCCACTCACCCCCCACCCCCCACTCACCCTCCACCCCCCACTCACCCTCCACCCCACAGCAGGATGTGTGTGTGTGTGTGTGTGTGTGTGTGTGTGTGTGAGCCTACACCCCACCAGACTCTTGCCCAGGTAACTCCCCTGCAGTGTATAAGGCGTGGCCACACCACTACACCTTCCTACTGACACACACACACACACACACACACACACACACACACACACACACACACACACACACACACACACACACACACACACACACACACACACACACACACACACTGCAGGAAATAAACTTCTGATGAAACTGTAGGGATAATCTTAGGTGATATGATTGAAATTTTAAGCCACTGTATACCTGTACTGGCTGTGTATATTGTTTGTTAGATAAGATTAGGTTAGGTTATCAATAAGTTAAGTTAGCTTACGTTAGGTTAAAGTTAGGTTATGTTAGGTTAGGTTAGGCAAGATTAGTGTAGGCTAGGCTAGGCTAGGTAAGGTTAAGTTAGATTAAATTGAGTTAGGTTAGTGTTAGCATTAATTTATATTAGGATAGCTTCCGTTAGGTTAAATTAGGTTAACATTAAGTTATCTTAGGTTAGCTTACGTTAGTTTAGGTTAGCTTACGTTAGTTTAGGTTAGCTTACGTTAGGTTAAATTAGATTAGGTTAGGTTAGGTTAGCTTAGGTTAGGGTGGGGGGCAGATGGCTGGTGTGTGGTGGTGTGGTGTGAGCGGCAGTAGCTGTTGGTAACCTTCTCTCTTCTTTAAGTATTGTGATCAACTCTGTTACCTTGTTGCCTTATACACTACAGTACGTTTACCAGTGTTAGGTTAGGTTAGGTTGGATTACACTTAGTTTAGATTAGATTAGTTTTTGTGATTTGAGACACAACTAAGTTGGATTTGGTTAGTTTAGGTTAGGTTAGGTTAGGATAGGTTAGGATGGGTTAGATTTTACATTAGATTAGATTAGGTTTCGTTAGTTTAGACTCGATTAAGTTGGATTTGATTAGTTTAGATTAAATTAGGTTAGATTAGGTTTAGATTAGGCTAGTTAGTAGACGTGTTATATTAATCAACTGATATTAGACACACAAATTAAAAAAAATTCTTGGGTAACTATTATCGTTAATAAATTGTTGATCAAACCGATATAGACTGAAATCCATCCTTATCTCCCCATTAAACTCTATATTAGATTAGTTTAACATCACTCTGCCTTATTTACATATTTCCGTAGCAGTATAAGTGACATGGTTGGGGGAGGGAGGCCGATGCTCATTTGTCTTTCCTAGGAATCTCATTACCCTTATACACTTGGGCTTATGTCAACATGCAAATATTTCGTGGGTGGTGCTCAGTCTCTCGCGGTATGCTGTTGTACTATCGTGTGTTGGCCTTAATGTATGTTATTATGTACGTACAGAGACATGGGGAATGTAGCTTATGTCATTACCTTGTGTGTGTTTGTTTGTGTGTGAGTGTGTTTGTGCATGTGTGTGAGTGTGTTTGTGTATGCGTGTGGGTTTGTGTTTATGTATGTGTATATCTTGATAAAATCACACGGAAAGTAATTAAGCGATAATACCAAAACTTGAGACAGTAATTACCAAGGATTTAGACGGGGAGGGGGGGGGGTATAGATCTTCCTAACATGGGCGTGAAGGCTGTGGGTCTCTCCATGGGTTGCTCATTCCTCATGTGGGTCGCTCGCTATCCTGGAGGGGGGAGGGGCGCAGTGGTCGTCCCAAACTGTGCCAGCGACCACGTGTCTTCACTCCAGCGCTCCTCCGTACACACAGCCTATTCGTCAGGTTTTGTTTATTGTTTGTTCCGTTCGACCCATGAAAATCCTTGATCTCCTGAAGATTAGACACCCCCCACCCAGTTTATTTCACCGTAAGGTTAACTACCCTAACGCTAACGTAATAAATAAATAATGGCTGCCCCTCGTGTAACGAGGATGGCCGGCCCAAGGGCCACCTAGGCGTGAATTTATTTAAGGTGTAGAAGCTGTTGCCAACACAACAACCACACCCTTAGTTAACGAGTTGCATGACCCAGTGTCAAGGAATAGTCCGAGAAGATCGGACAACTCGCCAACTGCACTGGCGAACCATTACCCTGGCACACGATCCGCAAATCGATTAACATCCAGGTTCCCAATTACTGCTGGGTAGACAGAGGCAAATGGCGTAAAGGAACTTGCCCATATTTTCACCCTGCCCGGGGATCGAACCCGGGTCCGCTCGCTTGCGAGGCGAACATGCTGACCGTTACATCACAGGTCGCCAACCTAACCAGACACACACACACACACACACACACACACACACACACACTTGCACCTTATCTGACACGGGAAGTAAGGATTGTTAGACTAATGAACAGTAATTTGACATTATTTATCACCGAGGATAATTATATATTTTTTTTACTATTATCTCCAGTGTATACCTAGACAGTGTTGGTATACAAACAATATTCCTAGACAGTGTAGGTATACAAACAATATACCTAGACAGTGTTGGTATACAATGTACCTAGACAGTGTAGGTATACAAACACTATACATATTACATAAATAATAGTGTTTTTATAGACATCTACTCTGAATATAATCCTTGTCGTCTGCCTTGGCCTGTCTATGGTAATACATACTGTTTACCATTGTTTGTATACCTGCACTGTCTATATACATTCCTGTGAAGTTAGTACGAGGCGATTATACTGTATATATCTATCTGTCTGTCTGTCTGTCTGTGCGTCTATTTGTCTATATATCTATCTATGCATCTATTTGTATGTCTATCTTTGCGTCTATTTATCTATCTATGCGTCTATTTGTCTGTCTATATTTGCGTCTATTTGTCTTTCAAGCTATGCGTCTATTTGTCTTTCTAGCTATGCGTCTATTTGTCTTTCAAGCTATGCGTCTATTTGTCTTTCAAGCTATGCGTCTATTTGTCTTTCTAGCCATGCGTCTATTTGTCTATCTCCTAAGCCATGCATTTTCTACAAGCTGTACATTAAGAGACTAGAAGAAGGAAAACGGTGCACCAGGACCCAGGGGTGACATAATGAATCAATAACTGCGTTTGGGTACTCGAAAGGCGGAAGGAATGTGTTTTAAGCCATTCATAAATCAGAAATAATTATAGATATGTGATAGAATGTTACAGTCGAGGTAAACTTTAGAAAGAGAGAGAGAGAAAAAAAGGTTGGGTATTGGAGGTTTGGGTTTGTTTATATACATTATCCCTCGGTCCGCCATTATTGTTTTTCTCGTGTGTATTTATTTTTAATGTGAGGGGAATTTTAAGTGTTGGTGTTTATGGCGTGGTGTGTTAATATAGAGTTTAAGTCGTGTGTAAGGGAGGGATAAACATGAGTTGGATGATTTCAAATGCAAGTCAGTGGAGTCGTTCCTCTGTCTGGCAGCACAAAATCAATAGCAACTCACTGGGTCTCCTTGCCCGCTCAGACCCTTATGCTTGTTTTCCTTAGCCTTCGTTCAATTTATCAAAATATAGTTTATTCTGATATAGTAAATCTTAACGCTCATATTATCCCTTTATTGTAATTGACTGTAAATGTAGTTGATATTTATTTAATTTAGAACGGAATATTTATCAGTCTTACGATTATTTCAAGGATATCTTAATAGTCTTTTGAAGGTATTATGATTACTATCGCCAAAATCCCCTGAATATTCGAGTGAAAAGTTATCAAAGACTAACGTTCAGTGCCATCTAGCAGACGACGCGCGCAGTGTGAAAGCGAACACAGTACAAAATCTGTTCTCGCGCCAGCGCATAGAGAAGCTAAATGTGGAACAATTCTTACTATTTACCTCAAAATATAAATTATTATACTTTTAATCAATTTTTATGTATTAATTTATTAATATATTGAGAAATAATAGTTAATAGTATTGTTTTTATTGAAGGTGTTGATTATGTAATGTAAGTTATTTCCATATGTTGTATGCGCGTGTGGGCCTGAGGACGGGCGACTGGGGTCAAAATAGGAGCTGGCAACTGTCTGCGTTTAGTGGACAGCGGTGCGACAGAGTAACTTACAGTAGGTCCTGCTTGTGCACTCCCCCACTCTTTCTGGCTAGTGGCTAATACAAAGTTGTCGGTGAAAAAATTTATCCATTCCTAATGATTGTGGTGTGGTGTAAGTAGCGTTGTGCAAAGTATATAAAACACTCTTTAAAGTAGCCCCACACCTTAAGGTAGCTGGGCTGAAGAGGCGAGTGTGTTTTAGTGATACTGTCTTAAGAGAGAGGAAAAGGTTCTGTCTACTGAAGCGACATGGCTACCCAGCCTTCCACACGATTCAGCGAAAATTATGAACTCAAGGAAGAACTGGGAAAGTAAGTACACAATTTTCTATAGTTTAGTCTTAATATTAAAGCTTTCCTAGGGAGTTAAACCCGCATTACCAGACTCCTGTAGGTGAAATATTTCCCCCTGTAGCAGACGACTGTCGGGGATGGCTATCGCTCTCTAGTTGTAGAATGTTATTACATAGCCATTCTCCCTCAAGGAATGTTTAATATTTCTGATACATTCTACAGGAGGAGCCAAGTAACATTATATAACAGTTCATGTGGTAAATAATGATTTTATATGTGTAAGTATCGGAAGGTGGAGAGAGGGAGGGAAAATGTGTATAATGCCTTGTGTAGACTTGTAGAGGTAGGCACTTGGACTACCAGGACCATCATCCCGCCACATTGATTCCTGCGGCAAGCTGTGAGGTAGGGGGGTAGGGGGTGTGAGAGTAGAGGGAGAGGAGGAGGAGGGAGGGGAGGTTGTCTCATCAGCTGTTCCTCGGCTGCCTGTCAATAGTGAGGTGGTGGTGGTGTTATGGCCGCCTCCACTACCTCTGGCACCAACACAACCAACCAACACATTCTTGACCACCCAAATCCATTATTCCCCCGTGGATGGCTCTCTTGACATGTTTATGGTCTAGGAAGTATGTCTTGATTCTTGAGACATAAGTAGGGGGGGGGGGTCATCTCTTCCTCAAGGCTCTGACATGACAGCCTCTGTGCTTAAGATGTCAGAATCCCAATGGTATTAAATAAGCCTTAAACTCCTTTCTTTAACTTGCCATTGTGAATTTACTGTATGACATCACAAAGTACACTTACACTCTTTCTCTGAGTACTATATGACTATCTCTCTATCTCATGTTCAACTACTGTACTATAAACTATTATGGCGATTTTATTGACTTTAGATACGACAAATCTCTTATCACTAGGAGAGGGAGAGGGTGCAGGAGTAGGGGAAGGGTGGCTGTTTGACAATGGTAACTGAAATTAAGCTTATCACTCGAGATAAATCTCTCTCTCCTCTTCTTGTGGTTGATCAAACTGTTAATAAATGAATAAAACTTTTGATTATTTCGCTATTTCGTCTGCTGCTTCGCCAGAGTTTTGGTTATACAAGATGTAACTATGAGTCTGTTCCATTTTTTTCAGTGTGTTTTTACTTCCTTTTTATTCCGTTACATGAAACAAAATAATAAGTGGGCGACTCTTGCTGAGGACTCATCTGGGTGAGTCTGGGCAGCTAATCACATTTCTGGGAAACTGTGTGAGAGGGAATGTGACTGTATGACTGTGTGTGACTGGGTTGGTGTAAATGTGTAACTGGGCTGGAGTATAACTATGTGACTGGAGTGTAACTGTGACTGGTGCTGCAGTGTAAGTGTGCGACTCGGCTGGAGTCTAACTATGTGACTGGGAGTTTAAGTCTATATGAACTAGTGTTTGGTGGGAAGGTTCAATCAACCAGTCAGTTCTTTGGCTTCGAGTTACCTTCTGACCGACCGCAGTATGGGTGCCACCTAGCATATAAGTGACTGCAGTATGGGTGCCACCTAGCATATAAATGACTGCAGTATGGGTGCCACCTAGCATATAAGTGACTGCAGTATGGGTGCCACCTAGCATATAAGTGACTGCAGTATGGGTGCCACCTAGCATATAAGTGACTGCAGTATGGGTGCCACCTAGCATATAAGTGACTGCAGTATGGGTGCCACCTAGCATATACTGGGTGCACACTAGCCACCTATCAAGCGACTGCACATGCTAGCATAGTGGGTGCCACCTAGCATATAAATGACTGCAGTATGGGTGCCACCTAGCATATAAGTGACTGCAGTATGGGTGCCACCTAGCATATAAGTGACTGCAGTATGGTTGCCACCTAGCATATATATGACTGCAGTATGGGTGCCACCTAGCATATAATTGACTGCAGTTTGGGTGCCACCTAGCATATAATTGACTGCAGTTTGGGTGCCACCTAGCATATAATTGACTGCAGTTTGGGTGCCACCTAGCATATAAATGACTGCAGTACAAGTGCCACCTAGCATATAAATGACTGCAGCTTGGGTGCCACCGAGCCTGCTAGGAGTGACTGCAGGATGGGCTCCAACTAACACCAAGAATTGGAGGGCGGGCGGCACCTAGCATATATGTTACCGCAATATAGGGTGCCTCCTAACACAGCAGCTGGGATTGGAAGATGGTTGCCACTTATACCAGGCGGGGCTGCAGGAATAGTGCCACATATACCAGGAGGGACTGCAGGAATAGCGCCACTTATACCAGGTGGGACTGCAGGAATAGTGCCACTTATACCAGGAGGGACTACAGGAATAGTGCCACTTATACCAGGTGGGACTGCAGGAATAGTGCCACTTCCACCAGGTGGGACTGCAGGAATAGTGCCACTTATACCTTGTGGGACTGCAGGAATAGTGCCACTTATACCAGGATGGACTGTAGGAATAGTGCCAGCTACCCGAGGAACACATTAAAGATACTTGCCAGACCCATCCAGCGTAAGACTGAACCACCGTCATCAGGAATCCTATTGGTGATCAGCTTCTGTCCTCGCAACCTTAAGAGAGAAACTGCATGAAAGGTCAGGTCACTTGGTTAGATTACTTCAGGTTAGGTTATGTAAGGTTATGTTAGTTTTGTTCAGGTTAGGTTAAGTCAGGTCACCTTAGGTTATGTAAGGTTAGATTGGGTATGGTTAGGTTAGGTTAGGTTATGTTATGTTATGTTATGTAAGGTTAGGTCTGGTTTGGTCAGGTTAGGCTAGTTTAGGTCATAGTAGATTAGGGTTAACTTAAGAATAGATCTCAGCCGCCCTAGGAATTTAAAATAGGTCTCAGCCACCCTAGGAGTATCGATAGGTCCCAGTCGTCCAAGGAATGACTTCAAAATAGGTCTGAGAAACCCTAGGAGTAACGATAAGTCCCAGCCAACCTATGAATGACAGGAGAACACAGGTCCTAGCCAGAGTGAAGTTACCACATAAGAGGTGTAAGTTCGTCTACCAGTCCGGTACGCTAAGGTACACTCTAGGTTCAGCCAATCTAGGAGTAACAGAACACAATGGGACGCCGCCAGGCCAAAAAATGACCATGGAGTGGGTTATTGCCACACCAGGGGTAACGAAGACGGATGTTGGAGACCCCGAGGAGTGCCAGTATTGTGTCTCGGTTGTCTAGGAGTGACTGCGGTGGTTCCAGTAGCCTAGCAGTGACTGTTAAGGTGGTCTCCGAAGCCTAGGAAGGACGATAAGATGGTTCCAACACCAAGATAGGTTCCAGCCGCTCTTGAAAGGATTATATGATAAGTTCCAGCCTCTAGATAGGTTCCAGATGCTCCAGGAAGGATTATATGATAGGTTCCAGCCTGTAGATAAGTTCCAGATGCTCCAGGAAGGATTATATGATGAGTTCCAAATGCTCCAGGAAGGATTATATGATAGGTTCCAGTCGCTCCAGGAAGGATTTTTTGATATGTTCCAGCCTCAAAGAGAGCTCAGCCATGTTAATATTGTTATTATTATCCACTCTGTATCTGTGTTTTTCTGACTAAATAAACTGTTTCAATTCAATTCAAAAACTGTAGATAAGTTCCAGATGATCCAGTAAGGATTATATGATAGGTTCCAGCCTTTAGATTGGTTCCAGGTGGGACAATGTAAGCGACTTCATCCCAAAATCGTGCATCGCTTCTTAGGAGGAGGAGGAGAATGAAGAGCACCCGCTTTGGTTACTACTGTAGGTGGCTTCTATCCTTGCCTTCAGGAGAGACACTTGGCTGCAGGTGCTGTCGTCAAGATACAGTGAGAGTCGAGGGCGGTGATGGTTGTAGCTACTCCATCTTTACGCCGCTGGTAAGACTAAAGTAACGGCAAGATTCCCCGCCCCCCTCAACATTAGGCCAAACTCCATCGGGAAACACATCAAGTTGACAGACATGAACAACATCTTTCTACTGTATACCTGGTACTGGTAACAGGTAGTGAGTTACTGAAGTTTAAGATAGTGGTGATTCTTTTTTTTTTTTCTTTTTTGGGGGTCCTTCAAGCAGGTAACCATGTGGAAGTATGTGTGGGCGTGACAGCGGACACACACACACACACACACACACGACTGCTGGTGGACTGTATGTGCCAAGTCTGTCGCCAGCCACACATGCCACCGAACGATAAACACACACACACACACACTGGTCCCCCTGCTGCTGCATGTAAGGGTCATGGTCGCTTCCATCCTCCCCAAGCAACTTTAGGCGCCTTTAAGAGTGCCACATCCATATGAGTTATCACAGACACCCCCTCAACCTATTGATTTATGCGCGCTCACTAACTATTACCATCATCATCACCACTATTGCCGTCATCATTATCACCACTACCATCACCCCCATTACTATCATCGCCACTATCATCACCACCACTACTACCATCATCATTACCACTACTACCATCATCATCACCACTACTACCACTACCATCACCCCCATTACTATCATCACCACTATCATCACCACCACTACTGCCATCATCATCATCATCATCACTACTTCCATCATCATTACCACCACTACTACCATCATCACCACCATTACTGCCATCATCATCACCACTACTACCATCACCGTCATCACCACTACCACCGCTACAACCACTAACACAATTATCACCGCCAACACGTCTCATAGCATGGGACGTGTAACCACTGCCACTATCGCACACTACCACTATCACACACACTACCACCATCACACACCTCCACCACCATCACACACCACCACCACACACACCACCACCATCACACACCACCATCACACACCACCACCATCACACAACACCACCACCATCACACACCACCACCATCCACACACTACCACCATCACACACCACCACCATCACACACACCACCACCATCACACACACCACCACCATCACACACACCACCACCATCACACACACCACCACCATCACACACCACCACCATCACACACACCACCACCACATCACACAC